TTAGTAAATGAAAAGACACGTGAGAAAAAAAGTATCCTAACTTTACGTGTATAGTGATTCATTCTGAAGTAACCATTACCACTCAGTAAAAAAACCTTGGTGTATTGCTAGGTCTGTGAAAAATAATTGAATCAATGCTGTCTAGCAGCTAGAAATTAAAATCAAACATCAGGAATTATTAGGTAAGAAACAGAAATAAACGCAAAGAACAGTGTTACGCTGTTGTTCAAATATGTGAAGCACTAGATTGTAAATACTGCAAGCAATTCTGGTCCCTATGTCTCGAAAAGATTTTGTAAAACTAAAGATGAAACACACAAAAAAAGACTTGTATGGCTTGATTCAGTATATCAAAAACATAACTCAGCGTGACCAAATCCAGCATTCCACAAAATGGTATAGAGAATATAAATACAGAATAATTGCATATTGAAGCCTCTAATCCAAAAGCTGGGGGAAGCCAAATGAAACCGGTAGATAGGTGGAGGTAAACTGGAGTTACCAATAAGCTGTGGAACTCTTTGCTACAGGATCTAATGTTTGCTAAAATTTGCAGGGCTTCCAAAATCAGCTAAATACATAAAGGAAATATCCATCAAATGCTATTAATGACAAAGATTTCCATCTCTGGATCAGAAAATTGCTGCAAATCTTGAGAATATTTATGGGGGAAGTATTGATGTGTAATTTTCCTGTTTTTATAGTCCTTACTGGGCACCTGCCATTGTCCACAATTAGAGATAGGCTCCTGAGCTAGATGGACTTTTGATCTGATACCAGAGAGGCATTCCTAAGTTCTTTGACCTCTCCTGTTGATCACTGTTCCCATTTTCTGTCTGTTCATATTTATAGTGCCTTCCAAACAAGGCCAAATCTCCTTTCCTTTCAAAGACATCAAAGTTACTCACCCATATAGAAATTTCACTTTCATCTAGTTAGCAGTAAGTATTCACATGGGAAATCCACAAATTACCCCATCTTCTGTTCATGAAACATTATTTGAAAAATAATAATAAAATTGGGAAGACAAAATACAGTTGTCTGAGCAAGTGCACTACAAGAGTCTGGTTCTTATTTAATGTATTTGTGGTGGTTTGGTAGACGTGTTGTGTTTTCTTATCTCCATATGTGGGCCACCAGGCTCAAATGTTTTTAAGAATAAAAATACATAAAATCCATGGAAATGTATACAATTCATTCACAAACAGAAAGGAAGTTATCCTTTTACCCTCTACCATCTCAGAAACAAGAAGAGTTGATTTCATTTTTATGGTATTTGTTTGTATCAGGGTACTTTCTGTAATAATGGTGCTTCTGCTAACTGCAATGAACATCTACATCTTTGCTATCACAGCAGTAGTGAGAAAACTGAGCTAGGCTGTCAACAAGCACTAGGTAAGACAGGCAGCTTTCCTCAGAGGTAACTTCCTGAGCGGAGTTAGGGAAGACAATTTTTTGAAGAATCTGTGGGCATGAAGGCTCTTGTTCTCAGTTGCCCAGCATTTATGAGAATAATCACGTGTGCATGGCATTTGGACTCATGGGTATATCATTTCAGTATTCATACCAAAAAGACTAAATAGATTAGATAATGTAGTTTCCCTTCAGTCTTTCGTTGTGGAAAGAATAAGGATGATTCTAATGAAAGATCTTTAATAGGAAGATATTACATGATTTAGCTTACTAAAAGGCAAAGAAGAATCCTTGTCAGCACTAGCAAAATGCCCTTCTTGCCTTTCCTTCTATGAACAGAAATCCAGATCTTGAGATCAAGGTATCTATGGTAAAGATATAAGCTGTGGTATTGATACTGAGTTAAGAATTATGCAAATAGAAAACTATCCCACTATTCTGTTTCAGTTTTCTCTTTGGCAAATTTTGTGCTTTTCTATTCATACTAAATCTTTTAGGAATGTTTGTTCTCTGAAAGCAACTCTGATTTAATTGTAAAGCAAGAGATTCACAAATATCCCATATATTAATCATTTTTTACTGTACTACAGAAAAAAAAAAGTATTTCAAGGCTTGTGCAAAATATTTAGACAATGTTTAGAAAATTAAATGGCTAAATATCAACATCTATATCAAAGTGGATAGAATGAAGGTTGTTGAATTTTGCAATAATTTGTGCACAGTCTGATTAATTAACCCAAATTCTGGCATTTCTTGACTACTGAGTGTCTATTTAACAGTCCTTTTATTTCTTTTAGTAAGACTATATGTGATGCAGAAAGAGTGAGTCTCCACAGTGCTGTTGTGTAGGGTTAGGAGTTATCCTTGGCATGAGTTTGGAAATGTTGCCATTATTCTTGAATAGTGAAGCTGGGACTAACTTGGACCCCTCTTTATGTTGTAGTCAACTCTACATCAGAGGGAGACAAAGCTTGAGATACATGGAACCAGGTGACAGTTCAGGCTTCAACACATGCACAAATCATACACATGCTTGCCAGCTCTGCTAGACCTTTTGGAATAGGGACTGTTGCTGTCATTTTCAGAAGCGATCCTTTCAGGCCATCCATCAGGCCTCAGAATGGCAGCCTTTTTGCTTCTGAGTACCAGGTCTAAGTGAGCTGCCAGGCAAGAATCTCCTCCTTGCAGAGATGCATTGCAATTGAATTATGTATCGGGAATCCTGAGGGCAAAGTAAGTAATGGCTCACTGTAGGTGACCCTTACATTTCCAGCCCCTTCTTCCCTTCCCTGCTTGTCTCAGACTATCCAGAATCTGCCGAATTCCTGTCTTTTTAGGTCTATTTGCTTTAGCATATTAAGTTTATTCTGTCACCGTATTGCATTTGCACTAATTAAATGAGAGACATGCCATGCAAAGTTAATAACTTAGGGATAGGCAATAATAGAAGCAAATTCAAGTCTCTAAAATTTCACTAACTCTTTTATTATGTCCGTATGATTAGAGAGCTGATCTCTGTGGCTGGTCTAGCACAAAGATTTCAAGTGGTCAATTCAGGATGACATCCAGAGTTTGGGGTCGCTGACACCTTGATTCATGGTCTCTTCCTACAGCTATCATGCAAAGGAGACAACTGAGACCACACATATAGAGTTTTGGTGATGTCAGTTCAAAATAGTAATTCTGAGGAACATTGAGATTCATTTATGTATGCTCAGAGATTTAATACTAGCATGTATCTAGATTTCTTTTCTAAGGACCATACATATTAGAATGAGGGCAAGCAAGGATGAAGTAAAAAGACAGCTTTTAAAGCCCATGAATTTAAACTTGTTATGTATTACTTAACTCCAATGTCTTTCAGGGTGGCTTATAGAGAATTCTGGAGGCTTGTGCCAGGTGACTTGCTTGTGCTAGTTTTGGTATTTAACAGTGCAAATCCATACAGGAAAGCACAAATACCTTATATGCATGTAGGTAACAACGCCAATGCCAATTTCATGCTTCAGTTTGTACTTTTTTTATTAAGAGTCGATTTAAGATCATCAGACTGTTCCTGCCTTTCCCTCTAAAGTTTGGCTGGAAGGCTTGCTGCAGTATCTCTGGTATTTTTAATGAATTTAGCAGTGGGGGAAAGTCAGCCTTGGTGCAGAAGCTGAGAATGCAGAAGAAAATTGTGTGGTGTTTTAAAGGGGAAGTAGCAAGTCAGCAAACATCAGCACATGCCTTCTTATTTTATATTCAAAAAGATAAGTACACTCCAAGCAGAGCTTATTGGCCTCTGTCCCACTGCTCTTCCAACTTCCAAGTAAAGTTTAGGAACCCATTCTACTGTACGAGGGTTTTCTTGAGGGGCTTTAGAGGAAATTAACTCTTCTGCGCAAAAGTTGTTTCACATAATAAACTTTACAATGTCAGTGAATAGATAGGAGACAGCTAAACCACAGAATATGTCTTCTCAATTTTATGAATGCAATTTGTTTCTGCCTACCTTCTCCAAAGTATAAGATGCTAGGCCACATCCTGAAGCCCCACTCCATTCAAGTCCCCTGTAGGTGAAATACTGATTGAAGTTAAAGGAAGTTAGTAAAAACCTCAGATTTTTAGTGGATACTCTTTAAAACATAAAGTGAGAGGAACTTCAGGTGGGCAATAGGAACCACTTTTCAAAAACACCTGTGCCATTTCCAGAAGTGACTTTTGGTGTTTAAGAGTTGAACTCTCATAGTAAGAAAATGAAACAGGGTTCAGGGCCATGAAGTATCGTAGTGACATTGTCACAATTAAATAGCAAATTTAGTCTCCTAGTTTATTTTGGAAGCTGTAGCAAATTTTTGTTTAGTCCATATATACATATATATATATATTTGTATAAAGTATTTGGATGTGGCCTTTTTGTATATAAAAATAAAAGACAAAATGTTCAAAAGTATTTTTTTTCAGTTTCTCTACTTTGTGTGATGTGGTGTAATTAGTTACAAGTTAAAGATGTAGAGTTGAAGTAATATCTGAATTGTTAAGAAGCAAATTTTATGAAACATTGTGGGTCATTGTTCTAAATGGCTACTAACATTTTGGAATTGTGACCTTCAGATATGCAAAACATAAAAGAAAAAACATATCTTTGTTACTTCAGCTTATATGTCAGGGAAAAAAAATGGGAATTGGCAAGCCCAAAAGTTTTTGGTTTGTTTGAAAAGGAAATCAAGTTATGATACACCTAGCTTTTTGGATTAAGCATGTATTTCAGTTTTGTCAAGACATACAAAAATGTCTCAGAAAAAAAAGTACCAGGTTGAAGAGGCTGATCTAATTTTAATTCTGTTGTGTGAAGTACTTGTCTCAAAGAGTGTTTTTATTGAAGGCTTCAGAAATTTTAACATAATACAGATCTTCTGAAGTTAATTTAAAACTAAGATTTTAGTTATGTATTTCTACTTAACATTTTATGGTTCGATTTTGCTGCTGCTTAGAGAACTTCCACTATTACGAGAAACTGGTGTAAGGAAAAGATTTGATCCTAAAATAATTCATCCCTAATGAAGCTTATTTTTTTCTTCCTCTTTCTACTTTCTGTTTCCTGTTAGTCGGAAGTGTCTTGGATCCCCAACAAACACTACTCTGGTATTTACGGGCTGATGAAGTTGGTTCTGACTAAGACGCTGCCTTCCAATCTTGAGCGCGTCATTGTCCTCGACACAGACATAACATTTGCCACTGACATTGCTGAGCTATGGGCCGTCTTTCACAAGTTCAAAGGTAATTCTAAAGATGTTTTAATTTCTTGATTTATTGGGAGGGACAATGGATTGCTAAAGTAAGCGGTAGAGCGGGGATAAGAGGGCTGACTGAGACTTGTTAAATATTTTCACTCTTTCGTGTTCTGATGTTTGAATATAATTGTTCCATCCTTGAATCCATTGTTCCATTGTTTTCCTCAACAATCTTACATATGGAATGGTTGACAACATTAATTATCTCTTTCTTTGTATTATTGGTCTAATTATTTGAAAGAGGTGAGAGTGAGAATACAGTATGTTTTTAAAGAAAGAGTTATGAGGATTCTCTATTCATGCATCATTTTAAATGCCTCTAGTTATTCAGCACTCAAGAGAACTTGTTTTATATTACTTTTTATTATTTTAATTATTATTTTAAATATAACTTCTTGTTGCCACCAGAAGTGAATGTATTAAAATGGTATTTGAATTGGAGAGAAGGATGAATGGGACAGATTTTTGCTTGTGAATAAAAATGAATTATTACTTATGTATTGGAAATGAATTATACTTAGTATTGCTTCTGTTGATGAATTGATACCATGCTCTGGATGCAAGTAACCACCTGTAGAAGTTTTCTCTATGTATGCATGGGTCCCACAGCTCCTTGAAAATTTTCTTGAGAATTTGATCAAGAAAGGACATTTTCAGAGTAACTCATTAAGGGGGTTGTTACAAAGAAGATTGCTGCCGTGTCACAAGCCAGAGCCCTTTCCCGGCTAACATTTCCTATTGAAGCTACTTATTTGCCTTGCACCGCAGTGTTACGTTTTTTCAGAGTTAGAGACATGCCCTGTTGTGCTCCTGTTCGCCCTGGAACACGTTTGGGAGTTCTGGTAAATGCAGAGACGTCACAGTTTGAAGGTTTGCAGCCTTGGAAGACCTGTGGGCTGGTATTAGTCAGCTCTGTTTAAATCATCTCAAGCAAAACTCAGCCTAAGCAAATGAAAGTATTTATTTACAAAAGCCAAAATAGACAACCCAGGTACAAAGATGATTGATAGAAAAGAAAGAAGAGTACATTTAATGTACTTATCCCATACTGGTACGGTCTCTTTGACTTTCCCAGTATCCAGCTAACAAGGCAGTAGCTGCTAACTTCAGCTCTGTGGTCAAGGAATCAATTCTAGTGCTTGATCCTCAATGAATTCCTTTCTCGTCTTTGGAAATATTGATATCCCTTCAGGAGGCCAGAAGCAATCATCTTTTACTTTACTGAGCCAGCTGCAAACTGTTGCTTCATTGAGGAATATAAAGTTTTTCCTCTTCTATAGATTTTGTTAAAGACTCTTCATGAAGCCTTTCTCTGCACTGAATTTCATATAAATATATACCTTGACAACAATAATTTAAGTGTATGCACAGGGGCTAATGTTGAGCTATTGTACTGTTCCACTCTGCTCTATTGTGACATTACTGTGATATTTTACTGAATTTGCTATATTAGCACGCTATAGCAGGCAAGGGAAATTGGGCATAGAGCATTGCATGATCAAAGATATTGCAATGGAACTTAAGATAATATGTGGGATCATCTCACTTGAATTTCCCTCCATGGTTTCAGTGAATGCACAGCAGTGGTATTCTCCTTTTTACTGAGGAAAGGATAAGCATAAGCATATGCTTACAAGCATAAAAGCTACTTGTAAAGAAGGGAATATGAAGCAGGGGGAAGACCTAAGATTGAAAAATAATATAAGCAGAAAAGATGGAAGATGAATGATTATTTGAAGCTAAAAAGCAAGTGTGAGTCCAAGTCTCTAGACAGCTAGGCAAGGTGGTTCAGCTGGTCGGGGCTGTGGGAAACTTTAACACACACAGAGACAGAATTATTCCCCATCCTCCTAACATACTTGTCATGATCCCAATGCCAAAAATCAAGCGATGGCCCTCAAGCCAGGAAATTGTTTTAGAATTATTTTGTTAGTTGTCTGGTCTGTCTTTTGATCTCTGATGACTACCTGCTTCTCCACTATATTTTTAAGCCTAGCGATAACTTTGGTTTGTTGCCTGCATCTGCTGATCTCCCTGACCATGTGGCTTGCAAAAAAAAGAATGGCACAATCCCCTACCCCCAGGAGCTGAGTGGGGTAGGAGAGGACTTGGGAAGGGATGTATGTCCAAAGTGACCCTGCAGCTTGGCGAAGAAAGAGAAGAGTAAGGATCATAACCTAAGCTTGTGCTCCAGCCTGCATCACGGGTTGGAGATCCATTAGGAAAGTGGGATTCATTGGGAACAGATGATCTGGAAAGTGAGGGTAGTTAAGTTGGAGAGATACGGATGCAACCACTCAAAAACTTGCAAAATCTGGCTTTGACTCACAACAGCTTAGAAAAATACTTTTTTTAATCATATAATGATTCTTAATTTGTCCTCTGTTACTTTTTTTTTCTTCTGATGATGTCACTTCAGATGATGTTTTATGGCATTAACTTCAAGTAACCCTCTAGAGTATCTTTTTTAAATTAGTGTTTTAGTTATCTCCTTGCTTTTCCCACCCCAAGAAGTCCCAATTAAGTTACGGATTTCTTTGGAGCAATCTAGCGTGCCAGTTAAAATATTACTTAAACAAAAAAGAAAGAACATTCCAGTGATAGGAACTTACAACCTCCATAGGAGTCTGACACTGTACCCTACCCCAGCTTGGAGAGTAATTTTAGAACCTCTGATTGTCCTTTTAGAAAAGTTCAGACACTCAATTGTTGGCTAGAATTATCCATTAAAACCTGTTTTCACTTGAGATTGAGCAAGCAGAAGACTTTACACAGCAAGCAGCAGAGGAAAGCAGAGAGCTTCCTTCTGTGGGGTGATGGCAGGTAAGAGATAAGAGACAGCAAAGTCTCTTCCAATTTCCTGCCACGCAGAGAAAGAGAGAGAAGGTCCTAGAGTCTGTGAGTCTTTCTGTGCCCAGAACAACTTTTCTTCCCAGACAAACAGGATGACTAAGAGGCACTGTTTGCTTAAATTCTTTTTTTTTCTAGAGAGTACTCTTGGAAGAAACTCAGACTCAGGGCCATCTTGTAGTATAGCCAGGTCCAATTTTCTGCGTGGAAAGGCAATGTTTTAAATAGCACCCGGGGTATCTAGTATCTCTGTTCCACTAAGCTGCTTCTTCCGCCTATCCCAAGAGCTGCTGAAAAGATCAGGCCCTTACACACATAGTAACTTAATATTTTAGTTGGTAAAAAACTATTATTACATTCACTCTCTAGATGGAAAAAAGGAGCAATATCCCTTTCTAAATTATTGCTCTTTCTGCCCTTTTCTGATAAGCTCTTTGCATATGCCCTTACAATAAATGTTTTAACTATTCTGTAGCTGAATGCACAAATTAAGTTTTTACATATGTGAATTTATTTGAAATTCTCTTCTTTGAAGTAGCAACTTTAGGCTTTGGAAGGAATTCACACCTCTTTTCAGTAGCCTGAAACAGTGTCTCTCAGGCAATGTGATTTTTAGAGGCTCCTCATGACATTTTTGGGGTTGTATAATTATTACTACTTTTATCTGAAAGTTTCAGTCTTTATGCATAAGTTTGTCTTTGGGAACTAGTTACTGAGATTTCATGAATCAGATCCAGCTTTTCAAATGGGATTTGGGCATTTCTACTTTATCCTCATTCTCCCTTACTCTCTCAAAGATAAGCAGACTGTTTCTCTAGGATAGATAAATACCTCAAGAATATTTACCTCAAAGGTGTGAGACTGCAGCCACTCTGGTGAAGATAACTCTTCATGCACCTTGTCTGTGACTTAGTTGACACCTATTAGGTTTTCTGATCATCTTTCACTGGATTTTGGCAGTTCTAAACTTGAGAAACCATCTAGCCTAAGGGCAGCAGAATGCGACTTTAGATTGTGAGCACTCTTGGATAAAGTGCTGCAAAGTGTTTAAGACAGCAAGGATTGGTGTAACCAATATACCTTTATTGCAGAAACTGTCTGAATTCTTCCGGGAAAAGAACCAGTCCAGAGCTATGCTCTCTGCCATCAATCTTTAAGTTATTTTAAAGGCCACATATGCTAATTGTTTTACTATTCTTGCTCACCCACCTTCTTGATAGTGAAATGCAGTTTCTTTTTTCCAAGCATCTGATTTTGAATTTAATTGTTTGTTATATATGGCTTATCAAGAGCACTCACTTTAATGGCACTGTGAATTTATTGGGGATCTGACTGCAAAAATCATAATAGTTATTGTTTACAGGTTGCCTTTCCAGATAGGATCATAGTCTCCCTGTCCTGGGTGCTGTATATATTTATAGAAGAGACTTGTTTTTGTGCTTTATTGCACTTTATTGCTTAGTGTCATGTGGCAGTTCTTGTCTGTACGTAGATCTGTTAGGCTATTGCTTCGTGTGAGTCACAACTGAGACCCACCAGTGAGACCTGAAATAATCCCTGGCGAGATAAGCAGTGAGGGCCTCTGTGTTAGACTGAATACCACATCTAAGGCCATGGTATTTCTAAATACCATGTACCAATGTAGCTCAGAGGCTACATTGAGCACTGATGCCCTAATGCTATATATCAGTCTCACAATATTGTCTAGCTGGCTAATGTTGTAATTCTTTTGCATACTTTTAGGAATGAGTGCTTAAGTAAATATTTTAAGTACTTTTAAGAAAGTAATTAGTAGATAAGTAGTGTATTTCAAGTAATTCAACATAGGCCGAGTCTTCTGCAGAACTTAAACTACAATGACTATTTATCTGTGCAACTAAGTCTTCTTTGGAAACCCAGTTAAGGCATTAAAACAGAGTCACCTACTCTGTTAATGCACCTACAGATGCATTAACCAGGCATCTAAGAGGAAAAATGCCAAGATTGCTAGAGAAGCTGAAATCCCCATACTTGTACTTTGCTTACATAAAAACATGCAATAGAAACTGTTTGCTTTGTGTCAAAAGCTCAGACAATGATAAAAATCCATATTGGCATCATAAATGCCAGAGAAGGTCAGCAACAATTTTGGTGCAG